AGGTGGACGAACATGTACTAATTTACACAAACTGAAACAGATTCACTTAAAATCCATGTATCCCGCTCTACATGAAAGGGCGTACAATGTATGCAATTATCGTTGTAGTTGGTCATATATAATATACATTCATATACTACCGAGGACAGACTCAACTGTTTCACAACCTGAAAAGCAGACTCTCCACCAATCGGTGCGTACTCATGGTTGGTACTCAATATCCTCCTCTCAGCGACCTGAACACACTTGAGCACGAATGGTTGGCCTGCCTCGTCTCTATATGCCCCAACACCCAAGTTAACCTTGTCTGAATTAGAGTCCAATTTGAATGCTTCAGTAATGCCTAATATGGGATCCGGCGGTGCCATCTGCACACCACCCCATAAACCTCGGGATGTATTGCGAAGGGCGGTAGACGTTCGTAGAGTGCGCCCAACGAATTGCGTGGCCATCATATTGCTTGTGTAGTATCACACACGAGCCCAATAGGTTCACAGACTAAATAAATTGGATAGAGGGAAAAGATAATCCTTGTTCTTCTTAGCTAGTCCCTAATCAGTGACTATTTAGAATGAAACATGTATTGCATGCTCTCTCTGTATTTATACATGTATTGCATGCTCTCTCTGTATTTATACATGTATTGCATGCTCTCTCTGTATTTATATATAGTTATATACATACCTAATAAAAGATAAAAAGGAGGCTACGTATATTTCCCCCTAAAAAGAGGTAGCTATTTAATTTTTTAACTGAATCATATTTAGCCTCCTTGTAATTTTTTAGGAGGCTATGTCTGTATGTATTTATTAAAAAATACTACGTATTTATTTCTATTTTTTTACCTTTCTTATTACGGTTCTCTTGAGTTGACAACTTGACACTATAAAATGACATCTATGTAAATATATTTACATAAATACTTTGGTTTTTTTTACTTTCTTTTATTTTTTAAAAACACGAAATACATAAATAGACACTAATAAATACTCGCATGTTCGGTACAAACGTTTTTTGGTAGAAAACACAGTGACAAAAACGAAAACTACAAAAGAGCATTCAAAATCCCGCCAATATTTATGATTGGCTCTCCAGAATTTACGCGCGCGCTTTCTATTGTATTTTACTATCTTCTTTTTTTTTTTTTTTTCTATACATATCCAACAACTCATATTGTAATAAAACTAAAATGTTTTTAGCTCTCCAGCTACAGCCTACGATAGATAGCAAGCGACTAGACGTGTGTAATGATATAAGCTCACTCGTATATACCGTACTAGACACGCAACATACATTCGGAGTGTACAGAGAGGCCTTGTATACACAGATACATGTACCGATACCAATGGGGTAATCTTATATTTACAAGCAAGTCTGTATCGTTTGTAGCCATTATATTATAGTAATGGAGAATACAGTCTCAATCGTTGCACGCACTCCAGTGCAGAGTACATCGAATGTGTCAAATGATGACATTTTACCCTCATCACGTATTCTCAAAGAAGTTTACTTGTCTGAGAACTTACAATCAAACACACTGGTAGACAGCACAATAAAACCCAACCATACTCAGTTGGCAGACGCGGCCGCTGGTGTCTTGCAAAGTGGTCTTGATCGCGACAAGGGTAGTCAATCGGACGTGGTGGATAGCACACCACAGGTGGCCCGTGTTGATAATATCGCAACTATGTGCGAAGATGGTGATGTGGTTGTTGTAGATGCTACGCCTGTGAGAGCGCTCTTGGAGAGGGACATAAAAGGTGAAGCCGAATACGCACGTAAGGCAATCCAGACGAAAACCACGGCAATTAATACGAAGACCGATAAAGCAGAGGCACCAGAGACTGGCAGTAGCAATAGCGAGAAGAAGGGGGAGAAATTGAAAGAAAGTGAGCATGTACAGAGTACATCGGTGTATAAGAGTGGTATTAAAGTTGCGAGTGATTCGAAGGACGTGGACACAAGTACACCACAGCCGGGGGAGGATATTTGTACTGAAGGTATAGGTGCGAGTGTCAGGGTGCCGGCGACCACAACGAACCCCAATGCCAAACCAGAGGTGAGGACGAGCACACGTGTGTCTAGATCGGCCGCACAGGCGTCTGTACCTACAGCATCTTTGAACAAAATGCACACACGAGCGTCAGCTGGTGACAATGCAGGTGTGAGGCCTAAAAGGGGGACAGTAGGGTCACGAAAAGGGGCTGATACAAAAAGTGGGGTGACGAAAGTGCCAGCCGAGGCGGCTAAGAATAAGAAGGGAAAGGCGGCGGCCAAGGTGAAGACACAGCCATCTGTAGCGAAAGCCAAAAAGATCACACCATTCTCAACTGCGAAGAAGGTCGTGGCGCAAAAGCCAAGTAAGTGCTTGTATTTATCTGAGAATGAATTGAAGTTCTAACAGGTCGAATCCTGAAAGTTAACGATTTGTTGAAAGACTAATTCATATCATGCATACAAGAATGAGTGTAGTTATGTCTGTTGAGTGCTGGCCTTAAGGTTGATTCGCAGACTCTTTAGTATACTAGGTCTTTATTCCCACTTCTAGTCTGAGGCTACGTTCATGCGCTAAATCTGCATAGTTGTGTATTCCTAGACCGACTTGTATCATATTAGTGAAAAGTTACACGCGATGACGCACTGGGTAATGATTATGCAGTTTTCAGTTGTATATGACTACACGTAACTAACAGCTGCCTTGGAGAGCAGCTGTGTATGCAGTTCTGCTCCAACACGATCATGCATTCAGCTAAACACACACATGTGAACTTGACAATCAATTTATACCTGGGATAAGTACTATACTCGATATCGAACAACTCATCGTGAATAAATACACATACACAGAAGACCTGAGCCCCTTCTTAGTATCTTCGAGCAAGGAGCATGATCCGAAGGCCACGCCATTCAGCGCGGGGCTTAAGCGACCTCACTCCGATCACACAACCACACCCAGCAAGACAGTACTTGATCTAACAGGTGAAAGCACCCAAGTGGTTGATGTCATGGGTGAGCAGCCATCGGACAGCAAGAGGTTAAAGCCGACAACGGTGGAGATTGGTACAACAGCACCGACTGACGGTAAGCCGGGTGCATAGTTTGATAAATAGTTTTGATATTAAGTGTGTGCGTTCTATATTTCTTTTGTGCACTATGGGAATGTGCTGCCTGACCTGGCATTGGTGGCATACAAAAGCGTGGAGGCTGCTATATACATAGGCTTGCATCCCGATGGAATCAGCTTATACAGAATATGAATCTTACCTGCCTACTTGTTTGATCTGTCGCCGCAGGTGCTGGTGCATCTGTGCCGGAGAACAAAGAAAAATCGCCACAGAAAACAACTAGCGCTCAGGAGAAGGAGAAAGTGGCACATACACCTAGCAACGCCGACAAGACCTCTACCACAAGCCAAACAACTGGTATCTCAGTTTTCAATGTTTGATGTGTGTAGATTCAGATGTCTGCATAGTCAAAAATGTCCGTTATAGTGCACGTAGAATGCATTCTGTGCATGCCAACCCTGTGTGAGCAATTTCGTACGTACAAGTTGAATGGCGACAGGCCACAAATGGGTTTCACCGAACTTCTTTCTACTGATACTGTATAGTATTGTATGATGGTTAGACTGCGCGCAGGAATTTCGGGAACACCTAACAAATCTAGACCGTTATGGCGATTGTTTCTTGTAATCTGATATTCACCCATTTTATTGTTATCTCGTCAGCGACCAAATGTGCAGAAACCACTGACTCGGCAAAGACCAGAACGGGAACCAAAGCCATCTCCACATCGGATGATACCGACCCTATCGCGAGCACACCCGAGGAAACACACTCACAGACGCAGAACATAGATATACACGCGGACAAGACAGATATAGCAGATACACAAGAGAGAGAGAGCAGGAAGCGGAAAGCAAGCGAGAGGGAGGGCGTTGTGGCTGTTCAGAGTGAGAGTGTCAGTACATCGGCCACACCGGCAAATGCAGGGAAGCTTAAACCCACAGCTGAAAGGTCAGTAACAAGGGAGTCGACTGAGGGCTCCAGCCTGGAGCAAACGCCCGCAGGGATCCCAAGTGAAAATCAGGAGAAACCAAGTACGGCCACTGTATCGAAGAAAAGAAGAGCGAGTGCTATCAGTGCTGGCAGCGCGAAGAACAGCGTTAGCAAGAAAGAAGGTAGGCTCGTTCAAATGCAGTTGTGATGTTGGGTGTTGCAAATATACGATTGATCTACGGCACGACAAATACGTGATTGGCGTTGGCGTAATCACTTTTTTGTATGCGTCAAAGGTGTGAAATGTTTTGTTCGCTTTTTGAGACCTCTCTCTCCAGGATAGTAGATTGCCGAGTTTTTTCTTTTTGCAATGCAAACTGCCTTACGCATAATGGTTGTAGCCCTTGATCTAGATTGAATATTACTACTTGGACGTACGTATATATTTGTAATACACATACACCAACATCTTTATGGACCCTTGTGTAAAAGCGCAGGGGTTCGTGTGACTTCTCATTGCTGGGACAAAAATAAATGTCAAACTTCAACTAGTTTCTATTATTTAAAGTTCACATGTCCTTGCGACATCTCAGTAAATGAAGTTATTCATACATATATATATATATATATTTATATATATATATATATATATATATTCTATTTAACTATATTAT